AAAGACTCATAAGGACGAAGGGGTGCCTTTCACTTTTCCTGGGCCTCCCCATTAGGTGCTGCCCTTCCTGTGCGCTGTCTCCCCCGTCGTCCTCATCGCCGCCCCCCTCTGATCGCCACTTCTCCGGTCCTCTTGCGTGCTCCTGTTTCTCCTCCTGCTGAGCTCCGTGAGCCCTGTGAGCCCTATGAGCCCTACGACCCCCACGAGCTCTTCTGGGTCCTATGCGTCCTGTGAGTCCTTCGACCTCTCTGACGCCCCATGGCCGCAGGAGACAGAAAGGAGGAGGAGGACGAAAAAGACAAGGCAGAGGAGAGAGACGAAGAGGAGGACGAGGAATCAGGCTGAGGTGGAGGAGGGAGAGAGAGGAACATGGGTGAGGAAGGCACGGAAGACGACAAGAATCGACAAGAAGGTGAATCGTCGTCGTCGTCGTCGTCGTCGTCGTCGTCTCGTCGTCGTCGTCGTCTGACCTGCGAACTCACGGGCCTTGCCATGAGCCCCCACAGCTAGCCGTACGAGCCTTATAAGCCCTCCGAGCCCTATGAGCCCTGTGAGCCCTATGCCCCCCATGAGCACTAGGAACCCTGTGGGCCCCGTGAACCCCATGAGCACTATAAGCCTTACGGGCCCTGTGAACCCCAGAAGCCATGTGATAGCCCCATGCGCCCTGGGAGCAGCCCTTTGAGCCCTATGAGCACTATGAACCCTGTGAGCCGCATACCCTCCGAGCCGTACGACCCACACGGGCCCGGTGAGCCCCATGAGCCCTATGAGCCATACGAGCCTTACAGGCCCAGTGCGCCCTATGAGACCCATGCGCCCCATGGGCCCGATCAGCGCAACGAGCCCCATGAGCCCTACAATCCTGATGACCCCCACGAGCCCCATGAGCCTCATGAGCCCTATGAGCCCCATGCGCCCTATGAGCTCTGAGCCCCTAGAGCCCTATGAGACCCTTTGGGCCCTATGAGCCCTACGAGCCCTATGACCCCCACGAGCCCTATGAACCCTATGAGCCCTATGAGGCGTACGGGGGACGTCTGCGCATGGAGCCCTATGGAGCCGTATGGAGCCTTATGGAGTTCGATGGAGCCCTATGAGCCATGGAGCCCCATGGAGCCCTATGGAGCCTTATGGGACCCGTGCAGCCCTATGGAGCCCGATGGAGCCCTATAAAGCCCCATGGACCCCATGGAGCCCAATGGGGCCCTATGGAGCCCCATGGATGGAGCCCTATGACGCCCTCTGGAGCCATATGGAGCCCCATGGGGCCCCATGGAGCCCTACGGAGCCCTGTGGATCCCTCTGGAGCCCCATTGACCCCTATGGACCCCCATGGACCCCCATGGTCCCCATGGAGCCCCATGGAGCCCTATGGAGCCCTACGGAACCCTATGGACGTATGGAGCCCTATGGATCCCTCTGGATCCCTCTGGAGCCCCACGGAGCCCTATGGAGCACTACAGTGCCCTACGGAGCCCTATGGAGCCCCGTGTGGAGCCCCGTGTGGAGCCCTATGGAGCCCTATGGAGCCCTATGGAGCCCTATGGAGCCTTACGGAGTCCTATGGAGCCCTACGGAGCCCTATGGAGCCCTATGGAGCCCTCTGGACTCCTATGGAGCCCTACGGAGCCCTGTGGAGCCCTGTGGAGCCCTATAGAGCCATATAGAGCCCTATGAAGCCCCATGGAGCCCTGTGAATGGAGCCCTATGGAGCCCTATAGAGCCTCAAGGAGCCACATGAAGCCCCATGCACACCATGTAGCGCCTAGTGCCCCATGGAGCCCTATGGAGCCCTATGGGGCCCTATGAGCTATGGAGCCCTGTGGAGCCCTATGGAACCCTATGGGGCCCTATGGAGCCCTGTGGATCCCTCTGGAGCCCCATTGACCCCTATGGACCCCCATGGACCCCCATGGAGCCCTGCGAGCCCTGTGAGCCCTATGAGCCCTATGAGCCCTACGGGTCCTCTGAGCCGTATGAGCCCTATGAGCCCTACGCCCCCCGTGGGCCCTACCACCCCTTACGAGCCATATGACCCCTCCGACACCTATGAGCCCTATGAGCTCTACGAGCCCTACGGGGCGTACGAGGCCCCCGAGCTCTTCAGCGCCCGGCCTTTAAACTCTTGGTCTCATCGCGCCTCTCTGGCGCCATGCGACCAAGATTTTAAAGGCGAAGCGAAGCGAGTCAGTAACATCTTGTGTACACATATACATTTATATATGCACGCGTATATACTCACATGTATATATATACACGGGGCTAGACACACACTGTCTAGAGTCCACGCTAGCTACCCTATGTAGCTGTATACATACACATATTATATGTGTCTGATGTTCGCCAGCGTGGAAACATGACAGCAAGCATTCCATCCTCGATGAGCACCCTATGCGGTGCTAGATGCATGCTGTAAGCTACGTTGTGCCATGTCTGTGTTGTGCAAACCTTGTGTAAAGCAGGTAGCGAAAGCTATGCGATGTAAGCGAAAATGTGAAGTAAGCTTCATGCGGCATAAGCCATGCGGTGCAATACATGTGTGGTGCAAGCTATGTGGTGCAAGCTATGTCACGCAAGCGATGTAGTGTAAGCAAGGTGGGGGCGATATATGCGGTGAAAACGCTGATTTGTGGCACGTCGTTGCTGAACTACGTGGCGGGAGCCGTGAAGAAGATTGATACGACGACGAGCTGCTGCATGAGCATGAAAAGCAAGAGTCAGGTGAAATAAGGCAAACGCAGAAGGAGGAACGAAAGCAAGGAGGGAAAGCAGGGCGAGGACAATACAAGATAAGACAAGCACCGAGGGGGGGAGCAGGCTTCAGCCAAAATTGTGGGCTTCTTCGAGGTGGCGCTAGGGTGCTTTCGCTCACCCCGTCACCACGTACGCCACCCGCAGGACCCTGAGAAAAGGGCGAGCAAGAGGAGGAGGAGGAGGAGGAGGAGGAGGAGGAGGAGGAGGAGGAGGAGGAGGAGGAGGAGGAGGAGGAGGAGCGGGAAGATAACGCCACGACGGCGGCGAGGACCCTGAAAAATAGGCCCCCTTTCTGATATGTCCCAGGATGCTTCCTGGCCACATTTTCGAAGCGGATCCAAACGCAGCGAACAGAAGCCTACTGGATGGAGGCCCGGGCCGGGCGGAAAAAATGATCCCAAACCTAAATAGGAAAGCATCGGCCCAAAGCGGTGGCGGAGAGCGGTGAGGTCAGCGTCGGCGGCATCACCCCTTCCACCTCCTCCTCCCCCTCTTCCCCGTCCTCCTTCGATCCCCTTCATCATCGTTCCATTTCCTCTTGCCTCCGCGACGGCCGCGGCCAGCCCCCCCTCCCCACAGCCACGGGACGGGAGCTGATGAGAAGGCGACGCGTGATGTTTTGTGTTTGTTTCGGAACCTTCCAGGACACATCGTCCTGAAACGGGCCCACTGGACGTTTACTGTGACCTTCAAGGATCCCCCGGCGAGGCTACTGGAACCTTAGTCCAAGATCGGGAGTTGCTAAAGGTGCCCGTGGCCCACGGTGACCCCAGCTTTTCCCTCAATGTTGGAGCCCCTGGGGCCCTCTAGGCCTCGTGAGGGGTGCTCTGGAGGCCGTGGGGGCCTCCTTGGAAATCCTGGAGGCACCTTGGGCCAGAGGCACTTCTAGCAACACCCGACACGGGCCCCAGGAACCGTCCAAGGCCCCTCCGCGGACAGCCGTGTCCTTCCAGCAGCTCTCCAGCAGTCTGCTGGGACCTTCCAGGAACCATCCAGGAACCATCCTGGAACCTCCCACAGCCCCTCAAAGGACCCCTGGGATTCTTCCTGGATCCTTCCAGCGGCCCCCGGAATCTTTCGGGAGCCGTTTCGTTGGCCCCTGGTTCCAGGACACCTCTGGGTGCCCCCAGAACCTTCCAGGAACCCTCCAGGGATCCCTGGGGTCCCGGGGCTTTTGGACCCCCCCCCTGGGGGGGGGTTGGGGTTTTTGGACTCCCCCCTGGGGGTTCCTCCTCCCTCCTCCTCCTCCCCTTGGGGGCCAGAGCCGGAGCGAAGCCGGATTGGCAAAAGCCGGCAGGAATCGGCTGACGCATCGAATCGGCAGAAGCCGGATCGGGCGAACTCGAAATCGGAATCGCGAATCGGAATCCCGGAATCGAGTCGGCTCGAAATCGGAATCGCGGAAATCGATTCGAATCGAACCGGCGGAATCGGAATGACCCTTGCCGCGTCGGATCTCTCCCAGGCCAGCTGGAACCTTCCAGGCCTTTTCTGGACCATTCATAAGTTCCAAGTTATTGCCACGCGAAGCAAGTATCAAGTTACAGCTTGCACATTGATTTGATAAGCTCCCTGCGTGGGGCTTCATCATCACCACCACCATCGCCACCACCCCCATGAACATTATCCTCCTCCTCATCATCATCATCATCCTCCTGGTCGTCATCATCATCATCATCATCATCATCATCATCATCATCATCATCATCATCATCATCATCATCATCACCATCACCAGCACTATCGCCATCACCACCACGATCGTCATCATCATCAGCATCATCATCAGCAGCATCATCGTCATCATGACCATCACCATCAAAACCACCATCACGATTACCATCAACATCCTCCTCCTCCTCCTTAACAGCAGCAGCATCATCAGCACCATCACACCACACTCACCGGCATCATCATCATCACCGCCATCATCAGCAGCAGCATCATCATTATCATCATCAGCAGAACCACCACAATCATGAGCAGCAGCAGCAACACGAGCAGCATCACCATCGTCACCGTCGTCACCGTCATCATCACATCATCGTCAGCTCATCAGCATCATCATCAGCATCACCAGCATCAGCATCAGCATCATAATCAGCATCATCATCATTATCAGCATCAACATCATCATGATCATCATCGTTCTCGTCGTCGTCGTCGTCATCGTCATCATAACTGTCATTCTCATCGCACTACTTCTCCGTCCCCCCTATCCTCTCCCGGCGCAGACTCGAGTCCTCGCTGTTCGCAGCTCTGCGATATGCAGGTCCAGCGCCAAACGCCAGAGGCTCCATGGCGTCATGCGGGTGCCAGGCGTATGGTGCCATCGCGTCCTGCTCCAGAGGCTGCGCAGTGTCCTGCGCAGCACGTTCACAGCGCGCCCTTCCCCGCGCCCCCTCCACCTTCAAGCCCCCCTCTCAATCCTTTACCCCCTACTCGACATCACCATCCTCCTCATCATTACCATCCTTATCCCCGCCCTTCCATCCTCCATACTGTCCCTCCCGTCCTTCCTGTCATCCCTCCTCCATCGTCATCACCATCATCACCAACATCATCACCACCATCTTCACTAATTCCCGTCATCGCCACCACCACCACCATCACAACCACCACCACCACCACCACCATCATCATCATCATCATCAGCAGCAGCAGCAGCATCATCATAAGCATCAGCATCATCACCACCATCATCATCGTCACCATAATCATCATCATCAGCATCATCATCATCAACATCAGCATGATCATCATCAACATCATCACCACACCATCACCACATCATCGCCATCGACATTACCATCATCTCCATCATCACCATCATCACAATCCTCCCCTCCTCCTTCTCCTCTTCCCCCCCCTGCTCCTCTTCCCCTCCTCATCCTCCTCGTCCTCCTTGTCGTCATCATCATCACATCATAAGAAACATCAGCATCCTCATCATTAGCATTCTTACCATCATCAGCATCATAATCATCAGTATCGTCAGCGTCATCGTCATCGTCATGATCCTTATCACCACCATCCTCATCATCATCAACATCAGCATCAGCATCAGTCTTCTCCTCCTCCTAACCATATTCAATCAGTACCATCCTCATCCGCATCCGCATCCCCATCCCCATCCTCATAATCATCAACAGCATCAGCATCGAGATTATCAGCATCAGCATCAGCGTCATCGTCATCATTATTATCATCGTCATCATTATCATCATCATCATCACCATCACCATCGTCAGCATCAGCATCAGCACCAGCATCGTTCTCCTCCTCCTCGCCTTCAGATTTCGCATCCTCATTCTCATCCTCATCCTCATCCTCATCACCATCATCACCATCACCATCACCATAACAATCACCAGCATCAACATCAGCATCAGCATCGGCAGCATCGGCATCGGCATCAATATCATTATCATCATCATCATCACCAGCATCATCATTGCGAGCGCCAGCACCAGCGCCATTGTCGTCGTCGTCGCCGTCGTTCTTCGACGTCATCATAATTACCATCATCCGCCCCGCCAGGCTCGACACTGTATGTATTCTCGTCCCCGCCACAATCGCAACGATCAACATCATATTCATAATCCACCATCGTGCTGCGAGATACTGAGTGGTAGGGCCATCAAGTCCCTTCGAGTTCTCGCTAGTGGGTGATGTAAGTAGTGTTCCAAGAGTTGGGAATCATTGGGCGCTTCCAGGCGCTCTTGGAGCTTGTCGCGTGACTTTTCTGGAAGTCTCGGGATCGTGGTTGGGATGCTACACTGCCATCATTGTGTACGGTGGTCCCAGGTCCCGTCCTGGAGCCCTTGGGCATCCTCGGCCGTCTTGGAGGCAATGGATGCCAGCCCAGAAGGAATCCGTAGGTTCCCATGATTTACTCATGCTCCCATGCAGGTCGGTCCCGAAGGGCGTCGTCCATGACGGCCGAAGATCGCCCCAAGACGGCCGCATATGCCTACAAGAAGATCCCAGAGGCCTCTAAGAGAGCCCCAAGAGGGGCCCAAGAGGGGGAACACGAAATGCAATTTCAAGCCCTCTCCTCCAAGCCGTGGAGAGCGCCAGCAGGCCCCCGAGAGGCCCCCAGGCCCCAAGAGGCCTCCAAGGGACCTCCACGCGGCCGTTTGCTTCCAGGGGGCCTCAAAGAGGCCTCCCAAAAGCTCCCAAGAGAATTTTTTAGGAGACTTCTTATCCACGGCGCAGCAGGCATGGTGGCGGGATGGGCCGAATGCTACTAGATCCGCCGCACCTTGTGGCTTGCCACCCGGGTGCCTGGCGTGCTAAACTTCACGAGGCTTGGTCCTTTTAACCTCCCCCTGGGGTTTCGGCCGATCCCGCCGGCCACCTGGCGAGCCCGCAGATTCCTCCCACAGATCTCTCCAAGATGGCCTTTATGGCCTTCAAGACGGCCAATATGGCCTCCAAGACGGCCAAGATGGCCCAAAGAAAGCCGAAGATAGCCCCAAGATGGTCTCCACGACGTTCCCAAGATGCCTCTAAGACTGCCAAGATGGTCCAAGAGAGACCAAGCTGGCCCAAGAAGCGCCGAAGAGGCCCCTGAAACGGCCCACGAGACCTCCAAGAGGTCCTCCAGGAAGGCCAGGAGAGGCCAAAATCATTGATTTGCCGACTGTGTGTTGAAGGAGCTTGGCATTTGCCTTACAACGGCCTCCCGACGGCCCAAGACAGCCCAAGAGGCCTCCAAGATTACCCCAAGATCCAAAAGGCCCCCAAGACGGCCCCCAAGGGGCCCCAAGACGGCCCAAGCGACCTCCAAGATTGCCCCAAGATCGCCTAAGAGGCCTCCAAGATTGCCCCAGGACGGCCCCAGAGGCTTCCAAGACGGCCCCCGAAGGGCCCCAAGACGGCCCAAGAGGCCTCCACGACGCTCAAGATGGCTTTCAAGACGACCTGAAGCGCCCCAGGAGGGAAGACGGCCCAAAGCGGCTCCCAAGACGGCTTCCACGAGCGTCAGACGGGGCAGGAACGCCTCAAGACGGCCAAATAGGCCCCCAAGAAGCCCCCAAAGGCCCCCAAGAGGCCCAAAGACGTCCCCAAGAGGCTTGCAAGATGCCCCTAGGAAGCTCCCAGGAGGCCCCAAGAATGACCCAATAAGCTCCCGGGAGGTCACCTCATCCTTGTCCTCATCCTCTTGCCCCCCTCTCCTCATCCTCTTCTTCCTCCCCCACGTGTTCCACGAAGGGATTCCACACCACACTGTGTCCAAACGTCTGGCCACATGTGCGTATCCTAAAAGGCAAGGGGCGGCAGCGATTCGCCATAGGCATCTTCGATCCGCCGCCCCCTGCGGTCTTGCCACAGGGGTACACGGCGTGCCAGATGTTAGGCAATTGTTGGTTATGTTAAAAGTTTCTAGCGGGCTTCCGGCCAATCCCGCCGGCCACCTGGAAGGGCGCGCAAAGGACGTCTCCCTTTGGCATTCTGCCCCATAAAGACCCGTAGAATTCATGGGTCGTCGGTCGTCCCGCTCCAAACGGCCCCAAGATGGCTTCCAAGACGGCCCAGATGGTTTCATGACGGCCGAGATGCCCCCATGATGCCCTTTGATAGCCCAAGATGGCCGCAAGATCGCCCAACAGGCCTCTAAGACGGCCCAAGGGACCTCCAAGAGGACCTCCAGGAAGCTCCGAAGAGGCCAACATTGACTGATGAATCTTAAGCGCTTCCCAACCCTGCTGCGCTGGGTTCTCGTTGCGTAGAGCACTGCGGTCGCGACCTCCTCCTTCATCCCGCCTCCCTCCTCCTCTCCGCCCCCTCCTGCCTGCCCGATACCCTGCCTCCCACCTGCCTTCTGCCCTGCCTCCTATCTGCCTGCTGCCCCGCCTGCTCGCCATCGCTGGGGAGCAGCCATCTGCGAAACGGCCGCCACTTGCGAGGGCTGCTGGGGGGTCCTGCGGAGTGACGTCGATCGTGGACTCGGACCAGACCTCATCATGCCTGGGGGGCTGCGAACTGCGACACCGTCGCCACTTTCGAAATCTGCCGGGGGCCAGCGGAGTGACGTCATACGCGGATTCAGATTCGACCTCGCCATCCACGGGGAGCTTCTAAGTGCGAGACGGCCGCCACTTTCGAGGGCTGCTTGGGGTCCAGCGGAGTGAAGTCACACGCGGATTCATAATAGACCTCACCATCCCTGGGAGGGCTGCAAACTGCGAAATGTCCGCCACTTTTGAAACGTGCTGGGAGGCCTACTGGAGTGACGTCGTACGCGGATTCAGATTCGACCTCGCCATCCCTGCTGGGCTGCGAACTGCGAAACGTTCGCCACTTTTGAAAGCTGCTGGGGGTCTAGCGGAGCGACTTGGGGGCTGCGAACTGCGAGACTGTCGACACTTTCGAGGGCTGCTGGGGGTCCAGCAGAGTAACGTCATACGCGAATTCAGATTCGACCTCGCCATGCCTCAGGGTCTGCGATCTGCGAAACAGCCGCCACTTTCGAGGGCTGCTGACGGGTCAAGCGGAGCGACATCATACGCGGATTCAGCCTGGACCTCGCCATCCCTGCTGAGCTACGACCTGCGCAACTGTCGCCAGTCTCGAGGCTTGATGTTTGGGGGGGGGCAGCGAGGCAACGTCTGACGCGGACGCAAAGTCGACCTCGCCATACCAAGGGGGCTGCGATCAGCGCAACCGTCGCCACTTTCGAAGGCTGCTGGGGGCGCCCAGCAAAGTGACCTCCTACGCGGAGACTTCGGGTAGGAGTGCAGGCTGCCATGCCTTCCGACGCCTTGACCGTTTTTAGTCACAACGTGGGCCCCAGAGGCAGCGACCCCTTCCCATGGACCCCTTACCAGAGGCAGCGACCCCTTCTCATGGACCCCTTCCCAAAGGTAGCGATCCCTCGCCAGGGACCCATGGTTCATCTCGGGCCGTTCTCGTTGACGGCCCCATGGCCTGGCGAGGGGAGGCAGAGAACACAGACAGAGTCCGTCGCACCTCGCTCGCGACGCGAGGGGGTCCAGGGAGTCCTCGCATCTGATCCCAGACCTATCCCAGGATGTGCTCCGGTCACCATTTCGGGCGGCGGATCTGGCCGTGGCCACAAGGAGTCTCCCAGAGCATCAGAAACGGAGAGTGACACAAGAAAACCTCAATCCTCTAAGTTCCGCCCCTCCCCCGGATCATCCGCGACCGGAACTTTCCCGTAACGGATTTCGGTCGCGCCAAATTTCGGTCGCGATCGGAGGGGATCGAATTTGGCATCGAAGAAAACAGCACGTCGGTGTCCGAGCGAGGGATTCGAAGACGTCGACGGCTCGCTCGTTACCGGAACCCGCGACCGCAGGCCGAATTTCGGTCGCGACCGATTCGTCCAGAGAGTTCCCGGGAAATCTCGGGCCCGGAGATCCGGGCGGTACAGACCCCCTCCCTGGGCGGCCGCCCCCGCCGCGGCGTCCGCCACGGCAGTCTTCTGATCGCCGCTCGCCCTGGCAGCCGCGGCCGCGCTCTACTGGGCTGCCGTCTGCTGGAGGGAGGGCCTCGGTCCTCCCTCCTCCCCGTCATGCTCCCTCCCTCCCTCCCTCCCTCCCTGGCCCTTCCCTCCCCCTCCCGCCCTCCCCCCCTGCCTCCCTCCCTCGCTTCCTTCCTCCCTCCTCCCTCACTCCCTCTCTCCTGCTCCTCTCTCCTGCTCCTCCTCTTTCTCCTCCTCCCTCCTCCTCCTCCTCCTCCTCCTCCTCCTCCTCCTCCTCCTCCTCCTCCTCCTCCTCCTCCTCCTCCTACTCTTCCGATCCGCCACACGTCCGCTGGCCAGGACTTGGCCAGCGCCTGGCGGAGGTAGGGGTTCCCCCTCCTGCCCCTCCTCCTTCCCCCTCCCCTCGCCACAATGACACAATATGAGTACTAATCTCCTCTCTCCCCTGGTCACGTCCGGGAAATGGCCGGCCCCCCTCCGCGTACTGGTTTTCTACACACAAGATTCCATGCTGCTCTCGCTGAGGAGCTGGCTTCATTTTCGGGCCACCGCTCGTTCCGAATCGTGCTCCCGCTGCAGCGCTGGCCTCATTTCCGCACTTCCGCCTGTTCCGAATCGTGCTCCCGCTGCAGCGCTGGCGTCATTATTTCCGACGCAATGCCACGGCATGGTTTCCGGTCCTTCCAAATAAGCCCCAAAATCTAGAAAATGGCCTCCCGAAGAAACCATCGGAAGTGATTACACATTCGGTGCCGATACATTGATTTTTGGGGCCGCAGAAGCCCCCCCCACTTGGGGGCGTCGCCACGCCATGCTGTGTCATACTACGCGTTGATCTTCAACACCATGGTATGCCATGTAATGTTATGCCATGCTACGACATTCGATTGAGCGAATATAGAGAAGAAATCTACGCCATGGTAAGGGATGGGAGGGAGGGGTAGAACGTCAGATATGACGCGAACGCACCTAGCTTGCCCCCTCCCCCTCCCCTCTCCCCCTCTCGAGTCCCCCCCAGTCACCACCCTCCTCCTCCTGCTGCTCCTCCTCCTGCTGCTGCTCCTCCTCCTCCTCCTCCTCCTCTTTCTCCTCCTCGTTGTTATTCTCCTCCTCCTCCTCCTCCTCCTTCTCCTCCTCCTCCTCTTCCTCTTTCTCCTCTTTCTCCTCCTTCTCCTCCTTCGTCCTCGTCTCCCTCGTTTTGCTTGTAGTACCTGCTGAATCCTGCGTCGACCGGGTTCCACCCAACAGCTCCTCATGACCAGCTGGGGGAGACAGGGGGGGGACGACGGCAAGCGGCCAGCGAAGGTTCAGCGAGTGCGCGAGGCTGGCAGCGACGGAGCTCACCCAGAGTCCCCCTCCTCATGCCACCAGCCTCGATCGAACCTCTATCCTCTACTCTCGTTCCACGACCCTCGATTGATCCGCGAGCATCGATCGAACCTCGATGTTAGATCTCCTGTCCTCGACCCTTGATCGAATCTCGACTCTCGATCCTCGAACTGCGATCGGCCCTCGACCCTCGGTCCTCGATCGACCCTCAGTCCTCGATCGAAGGTCGATGGAGCAATCGGCGACCTGCGAGTCGTTGTCATTCTGGTGGACGAAGCAAGGAGGGGAGAAGGAGGAGGAGGAGGAGGAGAAAGAAAGAAACCCTCGGATCCAGGAAGTGCCAAATTGCTAGCAAGCACGGTAGGATACACACGTACAGCATGCACAAAAGCTCAAACGTTTGGATCTGGGTGGCCGCTAGATGGCAGTATCGTTTCACCGCCCTGCAGGTTGGGAAAACACGGGCCAAAGGACCACCCAGGCGGGCGAAACCGCTCATAGGGGGGCCCTGGCACTGCTCTTCCCCCTGCAAGTGGGGACGTCCAAAACTCATAGGTCAGAAGGTGAAACCGCCTTCGGTGCAGGTCGCGGGCAGTAGTCCCCAGGAGAGAGGAGGACACCGAGAGAGAGAGAGAGAGAGAAAGGCGGCCACCTAGGAGCGACCTTTGCTACTGCCCTTAACCCGACCTGAAGGCTTTGCTCGGGGGCGTGCTACAAACATTCTACCCACATCCTGAGGAATTCCCTGAAGCTGAAATCGGCTCTCATCCTGAGAACACACTGAGAGCGAGAAACTCCTAGGCCCCTCACTCCTTGAAACCTGCTCACTGGTTGGCAATATTCCCCGCTCGCGCAACTCTCGAAACCTGACACTGCCTGCAAACGCAGGTGGTACAGACACATACGCTCTCCCCTCAGTAGTCCTCACTCCTGATCGCTGCTCTGTACTTCCCTCCCGTCGGCTTTCAGCTCCTACTTCTGGTAGCGATCCAACATGCGCGCTATGTCCCGCTCCAACAAGCCTTTGAGTGCTGCCCCATGTTTGCGAACTGCCCTACTCGCTTTGAGATATTTCTCTATCGCGCTCCCGAGCTGTCGATACTGGCTGTCGATCGCGAGCGTGACACGGAACTGCTCGGGCTCGTTCTCTACTTTTGTGGGTCGAATACGGCATGCTCGAACTTCGTTGGCAAGCTCGTGGAATGTTTTTTTTGATGGCCTGCGTCCAATACTGCTCGACGATCATCTTCACATCTGGCGAGCAGGCAGGGTCGTTGCCCATCCCGTAGAACAGCGCGCCCCAGGCGTTCCAAAAAAGTGGGTCCAGATCCTCCTTCTGGCCTGACTCGGCCATCTTCTGCACTTTGGCATGGTAGGCCACTCCTGCAGCCTTTGCCGCCTTCACTACTTGGTTGTGAATATATAGTAGCCACGTCTGGAACACGACCCCGCACACTTCTCGCAGCTCCGCCGCGTTGCTCACCACGAGCGTGATCACAAAAACGATTGAATGTTTGAGAACCACTCCTTTCCCTCCTCCGCCAGCTGCTTGTGAAGCCTCCTCCACGAGTCCTGCTCCTCCGTCCACACGCTGAGATGTCTTCCTCGGCTCCCCCCCTTCCAACGTCCAGTCCACCTTCGCGTCCATGGCGCGACGGAACTTTTGGCACGGTCTCAAGGTGCGTGCAGAGATGTTGCTCAATTGCTCAAATAAGCCTGCTGCATACGGACACAGTGGGCATACTAATGATGACGGTACACGAATATCTGCTAAATTTCTGGTCGCATCGGATGCACAGACTCCTCGCCGAAGACTCTGCGATAGATGTCGCCGACAACTCTCACGATGCGCAAAGACTAGCCCGCATACACAACACTGATTGGATATAGAAATCACATGTGCAAGTTCCTGATACCCATGATGTGCTATGATGTGTGTGTACCGCTCTCCTATCACGAAGTACTCTCCCACAGACCTCCCCATCAGGATTTTGCAACTCACAGCGAAACGCCCCTGCACCATCTTCATAAGGTACAACTCCTGAAACCTCCTCCGCCTCAAGAAACTCTGATGGTGGAACCCGAACGCCCAATACGCGCGCACGAAGTTGCCGAGGATCGATGCGATTGAACTCTTCGCTGAACTCTGGATTCGAGAACGCCAGGAAAATGCGAGTCCCTAAAATATCGAGGAACGCTGCCCCTTCGTCAAGCCCCTCAAGTGCCCGAAGGTCTTTCGCTACTTGCTGAGCCCAGGGGGAAGCCCTCGAAGTAAGATGCCCATTGTCTAAAACTGGAACATCGCATTCAAGATGACCGAATAAAGCAGTAATAACTTGTTGATTCGCCAGCGGCGCTCGAGCTATCGACTGCCAGTAACGCAAGCGCCGAACGGTAAGCTCTGTACCCGGAGGAGGAGGAGGAGGAGGAGGAGGAGGAGGAGGAGGAGGAGGAGAGGGAGGAGGAGGAGCTAGCGTCGGCTCCTCGGGTTGTCCCACTCACGGTCTCTCACCGCCGTGTCGGAAGACGAGGCGCAGATGATGCTGACGTGGCGGTCGCCGAAACAGAGGGGGTCGCCGAAGTCAGTGTCCAGGACGTCGTCGCACAGGAAGGAGTCGGGGAAGGCGGCGGTTTCGTCGCCCAGGACAGGCAGGAGCGGCTTGCCATCGGACGTGCTGATCAGGCCAAGCACGGGGATCCCCTCGGGCGTGTGCGGGTCCAGCTTGTGGGACCGCAGCTCGTCGTAGAGGGCACATTGGCGGGGTGGCCGGCGATCTAGGGAGTTCTATGTGTCTCTCTCTCTCTCTCTCTCTCGCCTGTTTTTTCAAAACCAAAAACAGTGGCCTAATTTTCTTGAATTGCCTCTTTATCTTTCTCTTTCTATGTATATGTCTCTTTCATTGCATGTTATATGTTATTTGTTTTTGTTTTGATTATCTCTCTCTCTCTTTCTCTTACGTTTCTTTGTTCTCTATCTCTCTCTCTCTCTCTTTCTCTCCCTCCCCCATCATCAGCATGAGCAGAAGGTAGATCGCCAGCAGCATGGGCCGCCATCAGGACATCGAGGAAGGCGAGCAGCTGGTGGCCGCCAGTGGAGTGAAAACAGCCCCGGTGGAGATTGAGGTCGTTCTGGACGTCAGCGGGGCCGCCGTCAGCAAGACCATCGAGCGGATCAAAATCAGGAAACTGAGCAGACGCAGAAGGCCCGCCAACGGAAGTCATGGCGACATGTTGCACCCCAATGCCACCTACATCATTGTCGCCACCCAGCGGGGAGATCATCTGCTGAACTTGCTCTTCCTCACCGCAAATGATATTAAGTTGCAGCCCCCGCTGCGAACATATATATATATATATATATATATATATATATGTATATTCCTCTTCGAATATTCTTATATCTGAAAACCGCGGGTGACCCCCCCCCCCGTACATAAATTCGGCCCTGGGCGCTCCCATCGGCGGGAAATTCGGGTATTCGGTTCGGGAGGCCCCTCTCGGTCATCCCAAGCCGCCCTGGCGAGCTCAAGATGGCTCCCTGGACGGTCCCGCGGAGCACCGAAACGGCCCAAGACCGCTCCAACACGCCCAAGATGGTCTCCGGACGGCCCCAAAGGCCCCCAAGACGCCCCACGAGAGTCCATAGGTCACCCCCAAGCGGGCCCCAGAAGCCAACATTCGTAAGTTTCCTATGGGTTTTTCATGATTTTCACCGTGCTCGCTTTCTCGACCTCTCGACCACGCAAGACGGTCAAAGAGGCCCCCAAGATTGCCCCAAGACGCCGGAAGTGGTTCCCATGAGGGCCCCACAACGGCCCAAGAGGGCCCCAAGATGGCCCCAAGACGGCCCAAGACCACCCAAGAAGCCCCGCAAGACAACCCAAGATGGCCCCAAGAAGGACCAACGGAACTGACCTTTCGAGCTCTTCCCCCAAATATGGCCCCAGAGCCGCCGAGGGGCCCCCCAAAGAGCCCTCCGAGGGTCCCAGAGAGCCCCAAGAGACCTCGACGACGCCTTCCCAGCCCAACAAATGAGCTCAAGAGCCCCCCCCCGGGAGGCCACACAGATGCGTCAATGAGGTCCCCTACCCGGCCCAAGCACTTCCGCACGGCCCACAAGAGCCCCAAGACGGCCCAACAAAGAGCCGTCAGTGTCCCCAACGGCTCCCAAAAGCTCCCCAAGACGGCCACAGGAGGCCAAAACAACACCTCACAGAGTTTCATGACGGCCGTGAGCCCTGTGAGCCCTACACGCCCCATCAGCCCTACGCTCCCTATGAGCCCTACGAGACCTACGACCCCTACGAGCCCTACGAGCCCTCTGAGCCCCATGAGCCCCATGAGCCCTATGACACCTCCGAGCCCCGTGAGACCTCCGACCCCTATGCGCCCTGTAAGCCCTATGAGCTCCGTGGCCCCTGTAAGCCCTACAGGCCCCATGATCCCTGTGAGCCCTACCATCCCTACGGGTCCTATGAGCCCTACACGAGCCCTATGAGCCCCATGAGCCCTATGACACCTCCGAGCTCCATCACCCCTACGAGCCCCATGAGCCCTGAGATCCTTATGAGCCCTACCAGCCCGACGACCCCTACGAGCCCTACGACCCCTGCGAGCCTTACGAGCCCTGAAACTATGAGCCCAATGAGCCCTACGAGCCCTACGACCCATGTGAGCCTTACGAGCCCTATGAGCATTTCGCAGGCGTTGCCAAAGGCATGCGTAGCGCCCCCCCATGGTTCCAGCACGCGTGTCTGGCCTACCACGCGTGGGGGGGAGGTCATCCTTGCACGCATCTCTCCTGCACCCTGGCCCGTCGTCGTCCCGGCACGTCGTCGTCCTCAGGACTGCAAGCATTTCGGATCGCCTTTCGAGGCGTACGACGTGCTGGCTCTGAGGCGTGGAGCTTGAGCCCACAGGCAAAAACACGTTTAAGGCCAGCTCCAGATCCCACGGGAACCTCCCCGAGCCCGCCCAGACCGCAGAGGCAAATCAGACGTGGTCGGGGCATTCGCGCCCTGTGAGCCCTATGGGCCTGGCGAGCCCTGTGAGCCTTACGGGCCGTATGGGCCCCTGGGCCGTATGAGCCCTATGAGCCCTATGAGCCTTATAAGGCATACGGCCCCCGCGGGCCCCACGACACCTTACGAGCATGTATGGCCTTTGAGCCCTATGAGCCCTATGAGCCCTACACGCGTATGAGCCCTATGAGCCTCAGGAGCCCTATGAGCACTATGAGCCCTGCGAGCACCATGAGCCCTATGAGCCCTACGGGCTCCCGGGCCGTAGGAGCCCCATGAACCACAGGAGCCCCATGATAACTATGAGCCCTACGGGCACCATGACCCTATGAGCCCTATGGCCCCCGCGGGCCCTACGACCCCCTACGAGCCATCTATGGCCTTTGAGCCCCATGAGCCCTATGAGCCCTACAGGCCGTATGAGCCTTATGAGCCCTATGAGCCCCAGGAACCCTATGAGATGAGCACTACGAGCCCTGCGGGCACCATGAGCCCTATGAGCCCTATGGGCCCTGCAGGCCGTGTGAGCCCTACGAGCATGAGCCCCAGGAGCCCTATGAGCACTATGAGCCCCGCGGGCACCATGAGCCCTGTGAGCCCTGTGAGCCCTACGGGCCGTATAAGCCCTATGAGCCCCAGGAGCCCCATGAGCACTATGAGCCCTACGGGCACCATGAGCCCTATGAGCCCTATGGGCCGTACGATTCCTATGAGCATCATGAGCCCAATGAGCCCTACGGGCCCGAAGGGCTCTACGAGCTTCATGGGCCACATGAGCCTGTGAGCCATGTGAGCCCGATGAGAACCCTTGGTCTTATGACCCCTATGAGCCCTATGACCCTATAGGCCTTATGAGCCTTATGACTGCTGTGAGCCGCATGGGCCTCATGAACCTGATGAGCCCTATGATCCTTACGGGCCGTATGAGTCCTATGAGCCCTACGAGCCCCAGGAGCCCTATGAGCACTATGAACCCCGCGGGCACCACGAGACCTATGAGCCCAATGAGCCCTGTGAGCACTATGAGCCCTGTGAGCCCTATGAGCCCTAGAAGCCCTGCGAGCCCTACGAGCCCTATGGGACCATGAGCCCCATGAGCCCTATGAGCACTGGAGCCCTGTGAGCCATATGAGCCCTACGACCCCTGTGAGCCTGACGAGCCCTGCGATCCCTGTGGCTCCATGAGAACCAATGAGCCCTATGAGCCTTCTGAGCCTCACGGACCTTACGAGCCCGATGATTCCCAAGAGCCGATGACCTCACGGAACCCCAGGAGCCCTACAATTCCAATGAGTCCTATGACACCCATGACCACTTCCCAAATCGCACCGCGGCAGTGACGACTGCCGCTCCCATCGCGCCTTTCTGGCGCCATGCGACCAATATTTTAAAAGGCGAAGCGAAGCGAGCTGGTAAGATCTTGTGTATATATATATATGGTATCCGCTTCCCCTCATGGAGGCTGTAGACGCACCCATTGAGGCGCGCATGGAGCATGGACATGGGCTCGTACCGCTCTGAGGCTCTAAATCATCCAGTTACAGCCCCCGCTCCGATTATGTATGGTATCAATTTCCCCTTCATGGGGCTGTACACACCCATTGAGGCGCGCATAGAGCATGGACATGGGCTCGTTCCGCTCTGAGGCTCTAAATCGGCAGAGCTCGAGAATGGCGCAAGGGATGACCAATGCCAGGGGGAGGGGAAGGCAGAGAAAGGGGAATAGAGGAGATGGAAGTATGAAAACGATGTGAGTGCATGTCCCCATGATCCGAACGATCATTCATATAAACGGGCACTCACCAGCATCAATCAGGAAGACGAAACAAAGCACATGGTACAAGGTCGGAATATACCCCAGAGATTCCAGACATGCCGCAAAGGAGAGGCCAGAAGAGGAAGGGAGGGAGGCGAAAGGAGGGGACAACAGAGTTGGGTGCACGCACTCGCCAGCTATACAACTTGTATTCGGAAGCGGGCGCAGGAGCGCCTGGCAATCGCGACATTGCACTGGCATTAATGGCCATGGCGGTGGCAGCGTCGAAGCCGTCGTAGTGGTTGGGGTGGCTATCGTACTCCACGGGATCGGGGATGCAATCCAGAGGGTCAGTGGTCGTGGAGACCTGGGTATCGTTCTGCACCTTCAGCAGCGGGGGTATCAGGAGACATGGGCACACCGCTCGAATCAGCGGGCGATGGATTGCCCCTTGAGGGGCCCGCCGCGAGCGAACCATCAGCGGACGGAGCCTCGCCAATCCAGCGAAGAACATCTCGATCAGCACCTGGAGGGGAGGGATCGGAGGAGCTCGCAACCAGCCGCGACAGAGGGCGTGGCCGAATGTCGCGGTCCACTACCATGAGGGTTGGCGTGGCCAGCAACCGAAGACATCCGAATGTGGCTGCAAACTCCGCGTCAGACATTGTGTCGTCCCTGAACGGCGGCGAACACGGCGGGGCAGGTCTGCGCGCATCAGCCATCTCATCCATGGCATCAGTGTCGGCCGCTGCGCGCGAATGGTATTCAGGGCCATCGCCAGTGGCAACCACAAGTCGTCTGCGCGACCAACTCGCTCGAGACCTCCCCACAATCTGGCCGCGAACGGGGGAGTGTGAAAGATCAACCGATCAGGCGCCAAGCACGAACTACGCTGAGATCTCCTGTGGCTTCCATAGGTTTCCAAACATATCCCGGAGGGGAGAGCTGAAGGAAGACATCATGAGGAGGGTGCGGGTGAGTAGCAGGGACAGGAGAGAGGAGGAGGAGAAGAAGGAGGAGGAGGAGGAGGAGCGCACGTCCCATGGGAGTGCCGTCAGGTAACCGACGAACGAGAGCAGCATGCCGTATTGAAAGGTGGTGGTCGTAGCTGCCGAACTGCAATGGGGTTACTGCAAGCTCGGCGCGGACCTTATGGAAGATAGATTACGCTAAACTGACAAGATCGTGGACAGTCTCGATCGTGAGGTCGGTGCCGCCATATTCCTCCTCCGTCCCGAGGCCGAGCCTCAGGAAGGGGGGGACGGTAGGGATATGCAAGCGGGGCAAGGCAATGAGGTGAAGCAAGCGGGGGCAGGAGAGGTAGTGGAGGAACGAGTCGGAGTGACCAGGGCAGCCAAACCTGCAGGGCAATGGCGTGAGGATCTTAACCCTGTGGCTGGTGATCCACCCTCCGGCGAGGGCTTTAAGGTGGGACCACACCTTGTGCGGCTGAGAACGTGACAAGACTTGGCGAAGTGCGAGCCATCTTGTCTCCACATCGGCAAGAGGCAGGGGTTCGGGAGGGAACCACGTCTTAAGCCTCCGGAAGATAAGCTCATGGAATCGATCGGGAAATTCTGATCGCATGAGCTGGGAGATGAAGGCGCCTTGAGGTCCCTGCCCCCCTCGCCCAGGACGCTGACGCCCACGACCCCGACCACCCCTTCCTCTAGCGCCTCCATCTGGCCGCCGCGCGGCGGCTGACCGAATACCGAGCTGCCGGAGCCTGTCCTCACCAGGCAAGGGGGGCTCCTGGAGATCAGCAGCAGCATCGATGGCTGCTTGGATCCGAGCCGCTGGAAATGGGAGGCCGCAGCAGCCTTGGGAGAATTGCCAGTAGTATTGTAGCACGCCTCGCTCCTGTATCCAGCAGGGTGCAGAAAGGAGACCTTTGCGCACACGCATGTGCAGACCGTGTACGTCCAACCCCCTCCCACCACCAGTCAAAGTCCCGCCCCCAGTTTTTCAATGTGTGCGTCGACGCCCGCCAGGCACAGCCGACAGAATACACTTGAACACTCGCGGGGGATGCCGATCGCAGCCACTTGCGCATCCCGACAAAGTCGTGCAGGGAAAATGTACTGGGAGGGAGGCGAAGGAGCTTGTGGAGAGCGTAATATTCTTTGCGAGCGATCTCTTGGCACAACGGGAAAAACTGAGCAAGGTACCCGAGAACTGACAAGCATGTGTGCTCGTACAGTCTTATGGCCGCCTCGCTGGGAGCGCGGGTACGGGCAATCGCACAAGTCCTGGACCACCATTTTTCACCAGCCTCGCGCCAGATCTCGCGCAGGGTGGCCCCGGGACCAAGTAGCACTCCTAGATATTTGGCCCACGAGCGCACCTGAAACGATGCCCACGCGGGGACAAGCTGACCGATGAGCTGGGAGATCCGGGCACGCTCCACCATTGTGCAAGCGGCTGCCAATGGAACTGCGACACACTTTGTGGGCTGCAATGCCAATCCGGCCAAGCGCTCGGCGAGCACGAAAGTGGCATACAGGAGTGGCAAGAAACGAATCTGATTCAAGACAACTCCTACATCAACCGCGCAGGCTCCCAGGGTTGCTGCCTCTTTACTGGGGAAAGGGACGACGAGGTGGCGGACGAAGGGGTCGAACCCAAGAGCCCAGAGACCCGGAGAGAGGGCAGCCCTGGGGAACGCCGGCGGTTATGGTAAACATTGGGGTTATCTCTGAGCCTACTGGCATGTATGCAACAGCGTCGGAACTTAGAGCAAGCACGACCCACAGGATACCCTGCGGAAGGCGTGACCTTTCCAGCACCATTCGCAGCCAGGTCTGGCTCATGCTGGGAAAAGCCGCGCGCACATCAGAACTCAGGAAAAGGGGATCCGTGTCCGCATCTACGACGCTCGCTCCCCTAGCAGCCGAATCCATGCTGATGATATTGGAAGCCAGATTTCGCCCCTTAACAAAACCTTGCTGGACCACACGGGTCCGCTGGACAACCGAGTGCTGCAGCTGCTGGTTGACAGTGAAAACAGGCTGCCAATACTGCTTCAAAGCGTCCGCCACAAACAGCATCTCGCACGATGTCGCCCTGATGGCCGTCGCGCGGCGAGCTTGGGGTCACATTTTTTGGAAGCATTAGGTCGAAAGTAAATGTTTGCCTCCATTTGTGCAGCATGCCCAGCGCGATGGGGCATCAGGTCAGAAGAGGAAGAGGAGGAGGAGGAGGAGGAGGAGGAGGAGGAGGAAGAGGAGGAAGAGGAGGAGGAAACTGAGGGGCAAACATTGTGTGAACATCCAGGCCTGCGCACAGTCTCCGACGAGACAGGCGGCGCGAGGTCGCTCTGGTGGCCCTCTTGTGAGACCCGAATCCCCCTCAGAACCAACCGCCTTTGCTCCGGCCTCCAGAGCAACGCTCGCCTGACAGAGGTCTCTGGATCTTGCCCCAATGCTGGATCTGGCCCGGCTGGTCGCGCGCCCGTGCAGCGGCCTCTTCTTGCATTTGAGAGTGCCTGAGAGAGTTCTGGGCAATTACCTCGGCCCGAAAACCTTCATCATCCTGGAACCACACTCGGGCACCTGTGATTAAAATGAAGTGAGACCCGTACACAGAGTGGGCCTGAATTCGAGCTGCTGAATGTATATCCTGCCTCCAAACTGCCCAGGCGATGGCTCGGAGTGTCATGCAACGGGCACTGGAAGAATTCTCCGGGCCATCGCAATCAGGCTGCCTCTGGACCTCGCGGCGAACGACACCCGCGGCCACGATCATGTTGGCTTTCAGAGTGGACCAAGCCTCGGGAGGGGGGAGGGAATCAAGATCGCAGCCAGGAGGAGGATGAGAAGGAGGAGGAGGAGGAGGAGGAGGAGAGCAAATGCATACTGTATGCTGCTGTTCCCCAGACCTCGCCCCGGGTACGTTCTGAGGGCCACGACTTCGAGGCGAATGCAGCCGTGGCGACGAGGGCCCCCGAGTGGGGCCTTGAATGCAGAGGAGCCGGGGATTACAATCGAGCGCCTCGCACGGGACATCCACGCAATCTGGCCGCGAACGGGGCGAGTTGAATAACTACATCCTGGCGGCTTTGCCCTTGGGGTGCCAAAACAAGCGCCTCGCACGGGACATCCCCACAAGCCGGAAAGGAGTCGGTGAAGCCAAACAGGCGCCTCGCTCGAGACATCCCCACCATCTGGCCGCGAACGGGCGAGTGTGATGGATCAACCGACCAGCCGATTAGGCGCCAACCAGCCGATCAGCCGATCAGGCGCCCACCAGCCGATCAGCCGATCAGGCGCCAAGCAGCCGATCAGGCATCAAACAGCCGATCAGCCGATCTGGCCCCGACCAGCCCATCAACCGATCAACCGATCAGATCGGATAAGGACCCTGGGGAGTGGTCGCAATGCAGAAGCGGCCAATGCTCGAGATAGAGTGCGCGCCCGCATCGTAGTTTGTGAGCTCGGCAGACGATATCTCAGCGAGTGCACTCAAGGCCTTCGTCATTTTCGCCGTTTGAGCACGTTGATCCTCACCAGCGGCGGCTCGGCGCTGAGGAAGATGAAGAAGGAGTGAAGAAGGAGGCGCGAAATTGAAGGAAAAGGAGTGGAGGAAGGAGAAGGAGGAGGAGAAAGAGGAGGAGGGGGAAGACCACTTCAAAACTGACAGGCCAGAGAAAGGCCGCGGCCTCGGCCACACGCCATGCCCTGCGAGCTGACGGCGTGCCGCCATGCTTCGCGGGGCGGGAGGGTAGGAATGTTCGAAACGTTGACGCCTGGGGACTGGGATGAAGTCGGGCCTGTCCCCCTGCAGGAGGATTTTCGACGAACAATAAACAGTACGAAACAAATACTCCCAAATGGTAAAAAAATACTCAAAAAATAGTCCCCGGACTATTTTTGGACTATTTTTGAATATTCCCCCTGTAGAGGGACAGGCCCGACTTAAGACTGGGACGTGGTTAGCGTGTCGCGCCGGAACGTGGTGGGCCAGAATCGGCGGCGCGACACGCTGAGTAGAAGTTCCTGACCGCCAGGGTGAGCGGGGAGGGGGGTTCGGGAGCACGGTCTCCTGAGCAGCATCTCGTCCTCGACGCTCAGGTAGCCGCCGAGGTTCTCCTCGCGGACCTGGTGGGCGAAGGAGGGGACAGGCAGCAATCCCGAACACGCAAAAGCACACACAGACACAGCGAAATATCAGCGAGAGGTCGCGAATGATAACTGCACAAACGCACACGCTCACGGACGGACCACCATGCCTGGCCAGGGCCATCTGGCCATCTCTGGCCATCCCAGGCCCTGGCATGGTGTGCACGCCCTCCTGGCCGAGGTCGGTGCAACGGCGGTGATGCAAACCGCAGGGGTGAAGCTGCACGTGGGAGGTTGTCGGGCCACACGTGCGCGGAAGACTCCAAGAGCATGCTGCTCCTGTCCGAGCAGACTCTGCCAGGAGGTCGACACACGGCCCCCCCCTGTGCACCACACCAGGGCCTCAGATGGCCCTGGCCAATCATGGTGGTGGTGGTGGTAAACTGGTGTCTTCTGCGTCCTCCGATTGGCTGCCGGGCCACGGCTAGAAGCTCTGGCGGCCGTTCGGGACGATTCGGGCACCCCCGAACTCTCGGAGAGGCGCAGCTGCAGCAAGCATCCCGAGGCGAGAAAACCTCCAAGGACCAACGTAAAACTTCCAAAACCTCTGCCGATGACTCCTAAGACGCGACCTTTCCAAGGGTGAAATTTGACACGGAGGAGCAGGGAGAAGCAGCAGCAGGAGCTAGGAGAGAGCTGAAACAGGACTCACGCCATGAGATCCTGCCCCTGTCCGAGATCCCTCCCCGCCGCCCTCGCCGGCACTTGAGAGGCGCTGATGTAAGGGTTCCTCCTGGGCACAGCTCAGCGGGGGCATGACTATGTCCGATCATAGGGCCCGGAACATAAAACAGCATACATAAGGTCGGGTGGGTCTCCCGCAGCCCTCCCCGACTGGTCTGGCCAAGCATCCCGTTTAGGGGAAGCGTTTGTTACTTTACAAGCTCCCCCCAACATATTAAACCGCCGATGCCTCGAATCGTCACAAACCTCACACCACCAGAGCCCCCGCAGGCACCCAATTCGGTGAGTTCTATGGATCTGGTGGGGTTGGCCTGGGCACTCCTGGGCCAACCCTTGGGCCCTCGAGAGCGCCCGTGTGGGCGACGTGGGACAAGTCCTACACTGTCTCCCCCACCCCCGCGGTCGCTTCGATCTGGTGGGAAGAAAGAAGGCGGACAGCGGCGGCGGCCTCCACCCGCGCCGTCTGTCCTGCCCGCCGAGCCGCCACGAGGTCCGCGGGTCGGGGCTTGAGCATCGCCTGGCGAAGGCAGGGGCTCGTCCTCCTCCTGTTCCTTTTCCTCCCCCTCCCCCCGCCCCCCTTTCCCCCCTTCCCCCCTCCTCCTCCTCCGCCTCCTCCGCCTCCTCCTCCTCTTTCCGCTTTCCGCTCCTCTGACGGCGGCCCCCGAGGGAACCACCGCAATCCGAACGCCTCCACTGCACGCCGAGGAAGCCTCAGGACTGCCTACACACTCCAGGCTCCCTACTCCGAATCCTCCCAGCGGATGTCCCGCCTCTCGCCCAAGACCTCATACAGCCCCCGAGCCCACCCGACGCGGCGGGGATGGAGAGGGGGCTGCACGGGGCAAGAGCGGGGGATGGGCCGCTTGGAGGAGGGGTCCAGCCCCTGCTTTAATTGGCGCAAGGCCCGTGCTCGGCCATCTGTGGGGTGTCCTGCACAGCGATCCGCGAGGGCCAAAATCTGCCGTCTGGCATACGCCCCGCACACACTGCACCACACAAGACCGCCAGGACCACCCGAGCACAAGAGCCTGTGAGACCAATGTGCCTGAGCCAGCTTCGCCATGACCCCAGGGCACCTGTCGTGCACCAGCCTGGCTCGAGTCGAGCAGCTGCGGCCACAACTCAAGCACAACCAGCGGCCTCCAGAATACTTCGCCTGATGCCCTTTGGGATCCGACACGAGCTCGAGCGGGTCGAAAGCGCGACGGAGCCGAGGTTTGAGAGCATCGGGGAAAGAGGAGGCGGCGAGGTGCGCGAGGATCCTGCCTGAGTAGAGGGCAACGAAATAGGCCGACCACCACAAAAGCGGCCTCAACTCCTCTACCTCCTCAGAAACAGGATGCAACCTCGCGCCTTTCTTGGCATACACATCAGCAAGCTTATTAGCTCTGTAGTGAAGCCACGGGACCCCTTGCGCCTGTGCATGAGTCCAGGATTCGTGGCTTCGCATCCAGTGCAAGTGAATCTGCTCAAGACCTATCTCGTCGATCTTAAACCAAATCTTGCACCACACTTCAGAATACACCTTCGTGGGACGGCAGCACGCTTCAGGCCCTGCCGCCACACCATCGATGAGAGACTTACAATCGGTGACGACCGTTACCTCGCCTACACAATTGCACAGACACATATAAAAAAGCCCAGAGCTCTGCTGCTCCGATCTCCTGCAAGACTCCAGGGTGGGGCCCAAATATGGCTCCTTCCGAGTTCCCATGGCGGTCTATCTTCACGCAAGACCAACCAGCCCTAGAAGCCAGAGGAAAATTGGGCGCCAAACAGGACCCGTCGATGCCAACGAGACCTGAGAGGGCCCCTCCCACCATGGGCCCGTCATACTCCACGAGCCCATCGAGCCTCGGGGGAGGTTGGAGGTCAAGCAAAGAGTCCACAAGGCCCCTGTGGAGGAGGGGATCATGATGCTCGCATTCTCTGCCAGCACGCGTGACATCGTCCAGGTCAAGCTCGCGTCTGACCACAGCACTGAATTCACATCTGAACAAACGATGCCCCTCGTCTCCTGGCTCCGCCTTGCAGACCTGACACAAGGGCGAGTCGACGGACCGTGCCGCGAAGAGGCGCGCCTGAGTCCAGAGCCCCCCAGCGACATGGGTTCCGAGGAGCTGCGCCGCCGTCTTGAAACCCTCGCGTCGAAGCTGCTGCTGAGCCTGACGGATGGGCTCCAGGAGAGGGGGGCCCCCCAGGTTTTCCAAACCAGGGGACCCAGGGAGGCACCGTAGGAGCGCAAGCTCCGTTCCTAAATCGACAACTTTTCGAAGCGAGCCAGGGCGGACCTCCGTCAGATCAACCAGCACCCCCCCCGCCTCCCACCTCGACTCACTCTGCGGCGTCCAACCCAGGCGCTTCAAGGTGGCCAAAACAGCCGAGCAGGGCCCACGGACCCTGCCGTTAAACTTAGCAACCGCTTTGGCAAAAAGGGGCCCCAAGATATCTCTCGACAACCAACCCTCGACGATCGCGCGCCCCCAGAACACCAGCGGCAAGGCGTTGCCCGCATACACGGGATCGGACTTGGGGTCCTCGCTGAGAAAAAATTGCAACGAGCGGCTCTTGCCAGCCGACGGCCCAAACAGCGCCGACCCAGCAGCAGCCCTCAGGGAGGAGAGATCCGCGTTACTCATTCCCGTAACTCTGGTACCATACAGGGCCGCGGGAGCTCCTCCTGCCTTGAAAATCCGAGATAGCCCCTTTCGCGACGAGCTGAGTAACCGAAACCTGCGAATCCTTTTTCTGACGCTCAGAATCCGACCCTTCTGGACCCTGCGTGCCGCCCTTGAACACGAAAAGTCAATCCCAAGATTCTTGACCCCGTCGACGACCACGAAGTTCCACCGACGAAGCCTGCTGGATATAGCCTTACCCATGGACCTGGACGACGCCACAATCCTATTCTTAGTGGGAGACACTTTCAGTCCTAGATCCTCCAGCTTGCTGCACAATGCGTGGAGCGCTCGTACCAGCCCACGAAATACCATCTCGGCTGGCCCGATCACTGACAACGTACAGTCATCCACCACTAGGTAGGCAGAGATGTTGACGGCGAGAGGGATGACCGAATCAAGAGTACTGGTGAGGTACAGACGGAGGAGCATCGTAGCATATGCACACCCTGCGAGGATCCCTTGAGCAACTCTAAACCACTCCGAAACGAATAGCCCCACCTGCAGAACCCTAGGGGCGCTGTACATAGCGACCAGGAGGGCAACTCTGCGCGGGCTGAAACTGTGCTGCACCGCGAAATCCAAAAGGCGAACGTGTCCGACATGCTCATACGCCTTCTGAAGATCAACCAGGCCTGAGGCAGAATACTGGTTGTGATGAGAGGCCCACTCGTTCATAGCGGACTGAACCCAGACCGCCCTCTCACAACTCTTCCCCTGCGTGGCGTAGACCCAATCCCTCTCATGCTCCCTCTCCCACTGCTTAGCCTCAGACTTCCTGCAGGCCGAGAGAACGCGCATGCACGTGGTCAAGATGCCGATTGGACGCCTCCCCCCTTCTGGTTTCAGTAAAAACCCAATGACAATCTTCCACAACTGAAACGGGAAGGCGACCAGCCTCTCCATCTGCCACAAGAGGGTGGAAAACGCCAGAAGCCCGTCGTCGGACAACTGGTTCAGGACGTGCGGGTGCCAACCGTCTGCTCCCACTGCCGTCCACTTCTTAAACTTGCCGAGTGTCCTCCTCAGGAGCGGCAACTCGATAGGCTGTGGGGTCGGGTCGAGGTCGAGCGCCTGTATGTGCTGCTGAATAACCGCGAGACGGTCCAGCTCACTTACACTAGATTTCCACCCCCAGATCCCCTGCCACTCCTGGGTGAGGCCCCCCAGGAGCTGATCGGTTCCCCAAGGGGCCCCACCAGCACTCTCGTCAGGAGTCCAGGCCTGGGGGATCTTAGTGACTTTGTGAGCCAGACCCCCCCCTCCTTGTACAGAACGAGCAACGTGCTCCCGCCAGTTCTTGGCCCTGGACTTCGCGAAGATGCTTTCGATCCTGTGGGCCTCGCTCTGGGCCCTGACGATGAATGACTCCAGATTAAGATCGGGGTATATATCCAGCGTCCCAAGATCCGTTCTGAAGCTGTTCCAGACCGGGTCCTGCTTGAGTCGCCCCGACCAATCCAGAAGCTTACGCCGAAGACCCAAGGCGTCCCGAGACTCGCACTGCCGTTTCCTGACCAGATACTGCAACTCTTGCAAACGATTCTGAATCAGCCTCCAAGCTCTAGCCTCGGGGGACGCCTTAGGGTAACACCCTCCAGACTTGGGTAAAACTGG